GACAATGTAGCTTTTCCACGCACGGGATCACGTCCGGGTACGAAAATGGCTAGCGACAGCTTCAATGTACTTACCTCAGAGGTACTACAGGACATCGATTGCGTCTTGAACGATCATAATTTTGCCTGGGTCCCTAATGAAGCACCCAGTGTATTTGCAGCTCATACTAGGCATCAGCATGTACAGCTACAGGAAACGAACTGCTCATTTGTTGACGACATCAATGTTTGCGGTAAGATTGGTGCTGAAAAGGACATTAGTTGCAGCCTCAAAATAGTCATCGATGCTATCGCAGTGGCTACTTTAAGTAACGGACTACGCCTACAACCAGCTAAGTCGGTGATCATGTTATCCTTGAATGGCGCTAATTCTAAGCATCACAAGGACATCTTTTACGGGCAAGAGGACTTTCATGTTGTTTCATCTTGTCTTGGGCTAGGTCTACCAGTGAAGCTGCAGCAGGTGGTCTTAGGCAATGTCATCACTGCTGACGGACACCAGGGACCTGAAGTTTCTAGGCGCGTGTTAGCGTTCAATGCTGGCATGGGGCCCCTACGTCGAGCACTGCGTCGCACGCCACATCTATCCGTTACAGCTAAGATCAAGTATGGGGAAGCCCTTGGCAACAGTCGTCTACTATATAATGCTGGTGTTCTTGGCTCTCTCCCGCACAAGATTTTTCGTACCATGCAGCAGGCTCACAATTCTGTTTATCGCTTCGCACTTGGCATGACTAAGACTAATCAGCCCGACCTGCACTACAGCACGGACTATGTTTATGCTACGGCACAGCGCGCTCCTCTTGCTATTGCACTTCGGGTGGCAAGACTACGATATGCAGTACGGCTCAGTTTCTCAGGCCCTTCATGGTTGCATCACATGCTAAACATACTATATACACACAAAGGAGACTGGGTTAGTTTGCTTCAAGAAGATATTGCATGGCTAAACCAATATACTCCGTTAGAAAGGAGGCCAGCACTAGGGGATGGAATCAGGGGCTGGATGGATCTTTTTCGCACGCACCCTGGACCAGCAAGGAACATGATCAAGTCTGCAGCGGTCAGGCACGTCAAGGACCTCATTGATAGTCAGGACAGCCAACCTCAGGCAGTTCAACCAGCACCACCGCCTCCCCAGCATGTATGTTATGATTGTGGGGCAGTATTTACATCGTTACGAGTACTTCGCCAACATGTTACTAAACAACATGCACCATTGGATGATCCTAAGTCCTGGGCTCCAGGCACAATATGTCAAATCTGTATGAAAGACTATCGGGAGCGGGGGCGTCTTATCAAACATCTTAAACAAGTACCCTCATGTACCATACCATGGAAGGAGGCACTGCAGCACACACAGCCCACACAGGAGGAGCTCGATCATGATGGCACGCACAAGGCGCAAGCACGCAACAGGGCTCAGGGCAGGTGTGATGATTATGCACAGAGGCAACCCATGAAAGTGTTTGGACCCCCCCTACGAATGAAAACAAAAGACAGGCGGAAGAGTCAAACGGCGTATCTTGGAGCCGAACCACCACCGAGTGAATAGCCATATTTATGGTTCAAGTTTCGCGCTCTTGAGGCGCCCGTGAGGCTCTGTCGAGCCAATGGACAGATACTACAATCAACTCAATTTTTCAGACGATGTGGGAAGCTCAGAAGACTATCCAGTTCCAGACGTGACACCAAGTGGCTATGGTATGGGTCAGAGATTGGAGCAGATCATTCACAGCGGTTACGGCGACGTCAAGGCTTTTCAGGAGATCATCCAGTCCGCCCAGCACCACATCATGAGCATGCAGTGTGTCAGCCGCGAGCTCCAGCTCAAGTGGACACGCTTCTACGAGGCACAGTGCGCCATCAACCGTGTCAGACATGAATGGCTGGTTGCTACGGAAGAGAAGCAGCATCTACAGCAGGTATCGAATGACATGAGAGCGCTTAGTGACTGTTACCACAGGCTTCGAATGACGTACCCGACGCTATTCGACGTCAACTTCGTTAACTCTCTCACGCCGCATTATGGGTACGTTCCCTACCTCTCGCCTCATCTTCTTCTTCGGCCTTGGCAAATGGATGAGGCGCGCAAGACTGGCATTGATGACAGCCTTGTTGTGCAGACCATTAATAAGGTGGAAGCGGGTACCCACACGGACGTTCCAGACATCACGGCAGAGCCATCGACGGGAATAACCACGTCAGCAAGGGCAACATCTCAAGAGGAGGGACCCCGGCCCCCAACGTACTCTGGAACACGTCTTCCGAAGCAAGTTGGCGGCGACGCACCTGTTGCTGCGGGAGTTGGTAAGCAGACCTTCAAGAAGTACCTTGCAGAAGCTCCGAAGCCACCGAGTCCAGCTATGATTCGCTTTCGTACAGTGACCGACGACACCAAGGAGATCGAGATCACCGCGGAGGACCTAGAGCATCCTATGTGGTTGCACTTCCTTCACCATTCAGGGTGGGCCTTGCTTGAACAGGGAGGTAAGATGAAGCTTGTCCGCATTCGAGCTAAAGCACGACCTCCAGTGGCCCCAGCAGCGGTGTCGAAAGTGAGGGCCAAGGCAACATCGTCAGCAAGTGGAGCCAGCTGCAGTGCAGATGGCCAATGGAACATTGCCTATGGACCGATGCCGCCACGCCCGCCTGCACCAGTACGACCACAGCCAGTGCGCCGCCCATGGGTGCGCAAACCAGACATGGACAACCAAGTGACGGATATGGAGGAGGGAGATGTACCAACGCTCGAGTATCCTGAGGTGATCGACAACTCGGACGTCATGGAGGTCCAGAGCCTTGCCACCGAGATCGACGATGACAATCGCAGGTCAACCGCACTGGATAAGGCCAGGACGGCAGGGCAGTCTCCCAACAAGGACCTCCAGGCGAAGTCTCCAGCAGAAGAAGATGATGACCTCTAAATTTGTACGAATCGGCCACGGCACGAACTGCTCACCACTCCACATATGTGGCAAGGAGTGGCAGAGGGTACCGACCGTGGTCGAAATGGGCAAGATGTCTGAACAATTCCATATTGATCCTCATGCAGCTTCTATTTTGCGATACGGCCTCCAAATGGGATTTGAACGTCTTTCTCACGGCATGTTGGGCTGGAGTGGGACGGTTATCTACGGTGGCTTCTTCATTCTACAGCACTCAACTTTCACTGCTGGGTTTGGATACAGATGATGAACCTACTCAAGTGGTGAATCTTGATTCTTCTTGGTGACATGCTCACACTGGTCATCGTGCAGCTGTGCTACGCCATGACTATCTTCATGTACTGAGTTCCTTGCACGGGCTCCCATGTGACAAGCCCTAATGTCCGATCCGATCCGATCCGAGGAGGAGGAGGAGGAAGAGGATGAGGAGGAGATGAGGAAGAGTAGAGGGCGGAGGGAGGAGGGCAGAGGGAGGAGGGAGGAGTGAGAAGGGAGGAGGGAGGAGGGAGGAGGGCGGAGGCGGAGGAGGATACTGATGATGATGCTGCTGCTGATGATGATGACGAGGATGATGATGATGATGATGATGATGATGATGATGATGATGATGATGATGATGCTGATGATGATGATGATGCTGATCATGCTGATGATGACGATGCTGATTATGCTGAAGATGCTGATGATGATGATGCTGATGATGCTGCAGCTGACGATGATGCTGATGCTGCTGATGATGATGATGATGATGTTGGTGATGATGATGACGATGACGATGTCGATCAGGATGACGACGACGATGATGATGATGATGCTGGTGCAGATGATGATGATGATGATGATGATGATGATGATGATGCTGATGCTGATGCTGATGATGATGACGATGCCGATCATGATGATGATGCTGATGATGATGATGATGCTGATGCTGATGCTGATGATGATGATGATGACGATGATGATGATGATGCTGATGATGATGATGATGATGCTGATGATGCAGATGATGATGATGACGATGCTGCTGATGATGATGATGATGATGATGGATGATGATGATGATGATGATGATGATGATGATGATGATGCTGATGTGATGATGATGATGATGATGATGATGATGATGGTGATGATGATGATGATGATGATGATGATGATGCTGCTGATGATGATGATGATGATGATGATGATGATGATGATGATGATGCTGATGATGATGATGATGATGATGATGCGCATGGTGGTGATGACGACGATGAGGAGGAGGATGAGGAGAAGGAGGCGGGGTATGCGGAGGATGAGGAGGAGGAGGAGGAGGAGGAGGAGGAGGAAGAGGAGGAGGAGGAGGAGGGAGACGAGGAGGCGGAGGCGGAGGCGGAGTCGGAGGAGGAGGAGGAGGAGGAGGAGGAGGATGAGGAGGACGACTACTAAGAAACATACGACACCTAATACTAATATTACGCGACATACTGATACTACTACTACTACTACTACTACCACTACTACTACTACTACTACTACTGCTACTGCTACTACTACTACTACTACTACTACTACTACTACTACTACTACTACTACTACTACTACTGCTGCTGCTGCTGCTGCTGCTGCTGCTGCCACTACGGGCCAAGTCAGGTAGACCCAAACATACAGTTCAGACCAGAATTTCGAGGCGAGCCCCAGCCGTGGCGACAAGACAAGGGAGGGGAGACCCCAGAAAGGCGAAAACGAGGCAAGGGCAGCGGTATCGGTGCCTTGTCCTCCGCTCACGGGGGGGGGGGAGGTAGGGTGAGCCTTCATGGGAGCGTTGGTGGACCTCCGCGGCCCTATCATGAACTGATTTCGACCGGATTTCGCCCAGATTTCGACCACCCCGCGTCACCCTTTCGTGTAGCTTTCGACTAGAATTCGTCCACATTTCGTCGAGACGTCGATCCCATCCGACGAAATACGGACGAAATCCCCAAACCGCAATGAATTCTGGGACCCCCTATGAGGCTCCCATGAAGGACCACACAGTGAAGTTGCGCGTTCCCTGCCCAGCCCTCACCTGCATGGCCAGCTGCGCGAGGGAGCTGGAGTTGTAGCTCTCCGCGAGCCTCCGCACCGCGCGCACCACCTGCGCCGCGGGGTGCTGCCAGAAGAAAGGGGTTGCGCCCGCGGACTCGTGGCGGGACACCCCGTGAGCGGCGCCGAGAAGCAGGATCGGGGATCCTCGGGGAGGATTGGAGAGGGTCGAGGAGGATCGAGGAGGAAGAGGTTACTGGGGACGGGCCCGAAGCCATTCAACAGAGTCACACAAAATCGGACGCGCCTGAGTCCGAGCAATCTTCGAGGAAAATGGACGGACGCGTCGTGACCTCGCCTCCGGCACGGAACCAAGCGAGGTTGGCCTCCTCGAGGCCAAAAGAATCCAGGACTTGCTCGCGGACTCGAGGGGGAAGAGGATAGGGTCGAGGAGGGTCGCGTAGGATCGAGCGGGATCGAGGAGAATCGAGAAGGATCAAGAAGAAACAAGGAGGAGGAGGAGGAGGAGGAGGAGGAGGAGGAGGAGGGGGAGGAGGAGAAGGAGGAGGAGGAGGAGGAAGAAGAGGAGGGGGGGAGGAGAAGAGGCCCTCATTGTCGGACAGATCTGCCATGGCCCGTGGCGAGAGCGCTGCTGACGAAGTCCTTCCTGGTCCGCGGACGCCCGCCAGTGGCACGGAGCACGAGCTGGGCACTCGGGACCGTGTGCATAGGAGAGGCCTGCCGTCCCCCACCTGAGGCTGCACGTCATGCTGGGCAGCGCGCCGGTGCTGGTGCTGAGCGTCGTGCGTAGAAGGACGCGCCGCGCAAGCGTTGGCGGAGCTCCTGGGTAGCGCTTCCCGGGCTCGCGCGCAGCTCCCGGGCAGCCCCTCTGGACAGACCTTCCCGGGTTCGTGGCGCATCCGGAGCTGCGGCTGTCCCCCCAGGGCTCGACGAGAGGCTCCGAGAGCCAGGCACTGGGCCAGGAGAACGGAGCTCACACCCGCGCGCCAATCCGGCAGGCTGGCCATCCCATCGATGCGGGCAAAGAAGGGCGGGCATACGAAACCGACAGGAGCGGAGTCGCAGGAGAGCGGAGAGCGGAGGAGGAGGAGGAGGAGGAGGAGGAGGAGGAGGAGGAGGAGGAGGGAGGAGGAGGAGGGGAGGAGGTGGAGGAGGAGGAGGAGGAGGAGGAGGAGGAGTAGGAGGAGGAGGAGGAGCAGGAGGAGGAGGGGGGGAAGAGAGGAGAATGGCGAGAAGGAAGCGGAGGAGGAGAGCGAAGGAGGAGGAGAAGGAGGAGGATAGCAGAGGAGGCGAAGAGCGGAGCCTGCCAGAGATGGCTGGCGTTGGAAAGATAGCGTGCAACATCGATCTCCGAAACGCACGCTGTCCAATGAAGGCGACCCCCTCCCCCGCGAGGGCCCCTTTCTGCACACGCCATCCCCCTGCCAGGGCTTCGGTCAAAGAAAAAAAAAAAAAAAAAAAAAAAAAAACGCCATGAGCATAAACTTTTGGCGCTCCGCGCGGATTGCTTGAATCCGCGCCGAAGACCCTGCCCTGGCGCGCGGAGCGCGCCAGGGGCGGCGCTGGAGGCTCCGCCGGGGGGGGCCCAGCGCAGATCCAAAAACTCCGCGCGGAGCGCTAAAAGTGTATCGTTATGGCGTTCGTGATTCTTCGATTCTTCGGTGCACACCATCTACACTGTGGGGGGAAAGCGTGTCATAAGAGCGGGCAAGCGGCGCCACATCGCACGGGCAGGGAAGGGGGCAAAGGAGGAGAGCGGATGCTCCGCTGTCCCACGCGGGGGGCGCCTCGGAGCCAGTGGAGGAGGCCTCGGCGGCCGTCTGGAACAGCGAGTAGCTCTGCTCCTCGGCCTGGGAGAGAGCGCGCGCCCGCGCCGGGGCCGCGTCGGGAGTGGAAGCAGCGGCGGCAGCCTGAAGGACTTCCAGACCTCCTCCATCCTCCTCCATCCTCCTCCTCCTCCTCCTCCTCCTCCTCCTCCTCCTCCTCCTCCTCCTCCTCCTCCTCCTCCTCCTCCTCCTCCTCCGCCCTCCTCCCTCCTCCTCCTCCTCCTCCTCTCCTCCTCCTCCTCCTCCTCCTCCTCCTCCTCCTCCTCCTCCTCCTCATCCTCCTCCTCCTCCTCCTCCTCCTCCTCCTCCTCCTCCTCCTCCTCCTCCTCCTCCTCCTCCTCCTCCTCCTCCTCCTCCTCCTCCTCCTCCTCCTCCTCCTCCTCCTCCTCCTCCTCCTCCTCCTCCTCCTCCTCCTCCTCCTCCTCCTCCTCCGCCCCTGCCCACATCCTCCCTCCCTCCTCTCTCTTTCCCTCGTCCCCCCTCCCCCCCACTCAAATCGTCATCGTCTTCCCCCTGCTCCTCCTCCCCCCTCCTCCTCATCCTCCTCACTGTCTTGTTCCGCACAGGATCGCCCCCGTCGCGATCGCAGCTGAGCCCAGGACGCCAGCGGTCGCCTCCTCGATGGCCTTCTTGGCGGTGGCGAGGGCCTGCGGCACGGAGGCTCGTCCAAGAACGGTCCGAGAGCGAAGGGTGTCTTGGCGTCCGCACGGGCCTGGGCGAGGCGAAGGGTGACTACCTACCCCAACCCGAAGACCCGAAGACCCGAATTTGACCCGAACGTCGTGTGGGGGGGGGTCCGGGTTCCCCGTGTTTTTACCATGTCTCCGACCCCCCCCACACTGGAGATGGAGGGCAAATTGAACCCTTCGGGTTGGGTTGGGGTGGGTGGGTGGGTGGTGAAAGGGGGTCGCTTCGCCGGCTCCATTCCTTCCAAGGGCCCGTGAACAACGAGAGACCTACCTGGCAGCGGCCCTGGCGCCGTGCCTGGCGCGCCAAGGCGGGGCGTCTGGCGCAGATCCAAGAAATACGCGCGGAGCTCCGCAAGTCTATGTTCTTGTACAGTATTCCGCTTCCCGAGAGGCAGGAGGGGAGGGGGGGTGGGGGGGGAACCCTGAGGACGCGCAGGAGCAACGACAAAGGCGGGCCCGCCCGCCTTGAGCTCCTCCCCGCGGCTCTTCACCTCGGCAGCGTGGCGGGCAGAAAAGACGAACGAAGCAGACGACGCCGCAAAGAGACGAGCGTTCGCATGACGAACTTGTTTAACGACCAAAACCCTCCTTGTCCTTGCCATCACCACGGGCACTGGCGAAAATCCTCGTCACCCGTTTCACCCTCCTCCCCCTGGTCCTCCTCATCATCACCCTCATCATCACCCTCATCATCACCATCACGACCACCACTAACCACCCACCAATAGGCTCATGACCATCAGCATTATCACCACATAACCTGCAGCCGCACATTCCATCACCATCATCGCCATCATCACCGCCATCATCACCACGACCACCACCATCATCATCATCATCATCATCATCATCATCAGCATCATAATCATCATCATCATCATCATCATCATCATCATCATCATCATCATAATCATCATCATCATCATCAGCAGCAGCATCGCCATCATCACCACCACCACCATCATCATCAATCATCATCATCATCATCATCATCATCATCATCATCATCATCATCATCATCAGAATCATCAGCAGCATCATCATCCATATCATCATCACCATCATCATCACCACCATCACCATAATCACCACCATCACCATCATCAGCATCATCACCACCACCACCACAACCACAATCATCATCCCCATCATCATCATCATCATCATCATCACCATCACCATCATCATCATCATCATCATCATCATCGTCATTACCATCATCACCACCAGCACCATCAGCACACTTACCATTCCAACCATCATCACAGATCCCAGCGGTCATCATCACCACCATCATCTCCATTTCTGACGACAGCCGCGCGCCACAGCAATGCGTGTCTGTGCCAGCGCACCATCCTGCCACGCTGGTACGCTGTTCCCATCTGCCAGCGCTGCGCGCGGCCGAAGATAGCGGAGCTTGCTCACCCCCTCTGCCTTAGCGCGGGAGCTGTTATGGTTGCCCACGCCGTCCCCCAGCCGAGAGCCAGCGCACGATTCGCTCGGCGGAACGGGCGACGAGAACCACCCCCGTAAATTGGCGAGACGACGGCCCTTGGGACCCGGCGGAAGGCACAAGAGCAAGCAGGGGCGACCAAGGAAGCCCCGCCGAAGGCCGACACCGCCTCTCAGGGCCTGGTCCCGTCGCCATCTGAAGAGATCGCCCCAGATGTCGGCGGGCGAAGGACGCAAGGATCTGCGGCAACTCATGGGAGCCTCACATGCCATCTTGCTGGCTCTCGCGAGAATCGACGCTAGCCCGCGCGAATCGACGCTAATCGGCCTGAATCGACGCTACGTCGTCGATAATCGACGCGAATCGTCGCTAATTCGGCGCGGTCTCATCGAATACCATACGCCATCGCGCGCGAATGCACTCGAAAGACAAGATTGCGAGGACACACGAGGCTCCCACGATGTTTTACCGAACGCAAGGTCTTCCTCGGGGACGCACCGACCCGGGTCAATCCAAACCCGGGTCAGCCAGGCTTTGCAGGATCCTGCAAGATCATGCAGGATCCTGCGGGATCCTGCGCCCTAATCCGGGTCAATGCGCCCCTGGCTCTGCGGCACCCTGCGAAATCCGCCGCTCAGGCTGACCCCCGTTTGCACGAACCCCTATCTCTTGGCTCCCGAGGAGGGCCGCGCGGCTGGCGTCCCTCGGCGTCCTGACCGTCGTCGGCCACTGCTCCCGCGAGCAGACACTCGGCTCTGCGCCCTTCAGGCCTCGGGCGCACGGCCTAACGCGGGGGCTTTCAAGCTTGCGCCGTTTGTGGCTCGCTGTCCGCTCCGCGAGCTCCTCGGCGACCCCTTCGGTGGCAACTCATGGGAGCCTCCAATGCCATCTTGCTGGCTCGTGCGAATCTACGATGCATCGACGCTGGCCGACGTTGAATCAGCGCTTTCTCATCGATTACCAGGCGCTAGCGCACGCTAATGCGCTCAAAAATGGACTTGCGAGGACTCACAAGGCTCCCATGATTTGCTACCTGACGATCCCGCACGCGGCAGGCGCTTGGGCTGGCTCCGCCTGCTTGCGACCAGCCAGCTTGCTGCGGAGCTCTCCGAGACAGGCCTGGCCTGAGGCAAGACTTGGCGACGCGCGCCGGCTCGCGGCCCGTGTCTGGGCACTTCACCTGGCAGCCAGCATGGGCGACGTCACAGAAGTGAAGCAGCCGTAGCCCGCCTTCGCTGGCAGTGAAGCCCTCGTGGCAGGCCTCGCGACGCCGCTGCATGAAATGGCCACCGGGACCGCCCACCGCGACCGCCCACCGCGACCGCCCACCGCGAACTCCAGGCAAGCGGGCCTTGACGACCAGCAGCACGCATGTCCCGCGGAACGGGCAGGCTAGCTCGACGCCGTCACATGCCCGCACCGTCAGAGGCCTGTAACCAATGTAGCCCGAGTCGGTGTGCAAAAACCCTATTCCTGGTTGCCGGCGGGGGCCACGGACCGCTCTGTGGACGAGCGCCGCCGGCCGATCGCGCGGAGCGATCCCCAGCGTGGGACGCGCGGGACGATCCTTCATCCGACCCCCGCGCCTAAAGCCCTTCTCATGGGTGGAAGTGCCGCGTCTCCCCCATAGTGGAGGAACAAAGGAAACATTCACAAAAACGTGCGGAACTCCGCGCTCCCGAAATTCATGTTGATGCCGTGACTTCTTCTTCTTCTTCGACGGGGGCGAGGCCGCCTCAGGGAAACGGGCCCCATAACCGATCCACACGCCCGTATCCATGTTCGGGGGTCCGCAAACATGGATCAGCGATGCACGGATCTGGCGCGCGGTCGCCAAATCCATGGATCGGGGGAGGTACCCTCCCCACAATGCGGCCGGTGCCGCCGCAGGGTCGGCGGCGGCAGTCCGCGATGCCCCATGCAAACGGGACCCGTCGCGAGCCCACGCCCCCTGGATCCGTGCTTGCGAACGCCTGAGCCTGTGCGCTCTCCACCAGTTCTCGTCGGCGGTGGCGCCGCTTCCCCCTCCGGTTCCTCCTGCGCGGGCGGCTCCGCGGGCGACGGCGGCGTCGCCGCGGGAGCTCGGCCTTCCTCGCGGGCCCTCCACCGCAACAGGCCGCCGCACGTTCGCGGATCGCGCGTCGGGAATTCAAGGCATCCAGGCGCGCACGCCTCTTCTCTCCCCAGACCTCCGATGTCGGTTGCCCAAAATTCGGCTTATCATCCTTCTTATCATCTTCCTTTCCTTCCTTCCTACTTCCCGCTTCCCTCCTCATCCTCATCATCATCAGCAACATCATCCTCATCGTCATCATCAGCATCATCCTCGTCAGCATCATCCTCATCCTCATCCTCATCCTCATCCTCATCCTCATCCTCATCCTCATCATCCTCATCCTCCTCATCATCATCATCATCATCATCATCATCATCATCATCATCATCATCACCATCACCATCACCATCACCATCACCATCACCATCATCATCACCATCACCCTCGTGCCGCATTCTTACATTTCCTTTTCCTCCTCCCCCCCCCCTCTTCTTTTTTCCTTCTTCCTACGCTTCCTCCTCCTCCTTTCGTCGTCGTCCTCCTCCTCTTCCTCCTCCTCCTCATCATCCTCCTCTTGCTCCTCTTACACTCCTCAATTGGTCCAACCAAGTTTCTCTGCAGGCTCATTAGACAAATCGCAGGGGGATCTGTTTTTGCTGATATCCGGCACTCCTCGGATCCTCTGGGGTGGAAAAGATTCGAAGATGACCCCAATATGACCTCTGGAAAACCATACAACTGCAGTGGTAGGGGGAACGCTTGTTCAAATGAATCAACACATGTTGGCGCCGTTTCTGCGCCTCCAGCCCGCTTCCAGGGTGGCTGTCCTCCATTACATGTTGACCTGCTCCTCCTCCTCAACCTCCTCCTCCTACCCCCAAGATGGCCTCAGGGTTCACCAGCATCAGCAGCACCAGCAGCAGCACCAACATTAACACCAGCAACATTAGTTTTCAACACGTACGCGAGTTTAAGATACAAATCAGTGCAAGACCCAAAGTCCGGGATGCGCATCGCGATGCGATTGCTACCACCATCACCGTCACCATAAATATCAGCCGCAACAACAAAACTGCAACCACCAGAAACAGCAATAGCAGCAACGGCAGCACCTGTACATGGACAACCTAACTTCGCAACAATCATACCAAAAGCAGCAGCAGCACCTCCATGGCATCGAAAGGGGTTCCATGGACAAGATGATCGGCAATTCACCCGCCATCCACTGTTCCCTCACATCCTTGTTATGAGTTGTCCCTGCTATTTGTGACACGTATCCGCGCAGATTGCACGGCGCCTGCGCTCTCGTTCGTGCAACTCGCAGCCCGCAGCCTGCGTTACAGACGTTTACCACGTGGAACACCACGTCGTATCTTGCACCGGTTTCCATCTTAAACTTCAATGCGGGAACCTGTGCGTGACCCTTGCTGTTACGAAGACGGCCGCGCAACTGAATGCTTTCAGCCGCCCCTGATTTACCAACTCCCTTGTCTTTCGTTTCTGGATGACCTGGTAGGGATACCTTTTTTGATCGCGACCGCACGCGGGCACCCGCACAGCGTCAGGAAGTCGCGTGAAGAGCGCAAGCCGGTCTACCACAGGCGGCACGCAGGAAAAGGGCCACAATGGTGGCGAGAACTACGCGGCAGGGGCGAGAACGAACAAGAGACACAAGGGAAGAGAGCGAGGCGACGAGAGACGGCGAACGAACAACAGAGGAGATAAGAAAGCGGCGACGAGACATAAGGAAGAGAACGAAAGAGCAGAGGCCACGGTTCAGCCGTGGAAAATGCTGGCAGGGATATTTCTTGGATTGCGAATGACGCGGAAGCAGCCGCACACCGTCAAGAAGGGTCGATCAGCGGAAAAAAGGACGGGGCACTACGCGGACAGCGCAAATGGGGCGAAGACAGAACGAGGCGAAAGAGGCAGAACGAGAGCGAGGAGACACAAGACAGAACAGAAACACAAAGACAGGACGA